ACAAGTGGTCGAGGGGTCGGTGCCACGCCACGAGGCGGGGAGACCGTCAGGTCCTCTTACCTAAATTCACGGCCCGTCGTGGATCTAGATAGCTAGATGAAGTACGTGCTTCTTCGTCACGTAGATATGTGAATTGTGCGATATTTAGTTAGTGCCTTTTGTGGTTGGGTTGCCTAGTTAGATTAATTTGCGTGTCAACGAGGCGTATTTTGACTCTGGCGCGACGTGTTATTCTGGTGCCGAATTTATAATTTGTGATAAGTGAATCCGGGACATTCAATGTCGAATTTTGTGCTACTGTCCTTGCCGTGTCGGATATCCCGTGTTAGTTAAATTTACAATGAAGCTAAGAGACTGAATAGTGACAGTAAAGAAAGAAGTGGTACGGCGCTGAAGCAGTCTGGAACGATGCAGCATTTTGTAGCAGCCTGGAACTCGGCCGCTGCTGGTCGCCTATGCTTGCCTAGGCCCCACACATTTACATATCACTGTACACGACTCGCTATCTACCATTACACACACTCACGGCCTGCCCAAGCCTTGGAGCGACGTTAGCTCCTGATACAGGTAGCTTTACCTGTAACAGTACCTTTGCTTTTTAGTTTGCTCCCATATATTTTATTGTGATAGAATAATTCTCCATAGGCATTTTGAGCCCCACCCTTAGTTGTCCGTCGAATCTACAGCTGTATGGGCCCCTGTTTAGTCGACCTTTGTCGGGGCAACTAGGGGCGTGTATAATTCTATACCTTATTATTAAGAGCTTATATCTTATTATTAAGAGCTGGTGTTTCTCATGTGGTCCCATATAAATTAGATCGAGGTCAGAACAATAGTTTTTGAGTTATCCTTAATTATTTATATAGAAGTCGGTTGTACAAAAGTTTTAATTTTTAATTATTATCGTAGTAAGTCTTGTATGATATTCCCTTTAAAATCATTACTCAAGAGTTGCGGATTGTTATTTTTTGTGTCACACTACCAATGCTTTTCTAATATTTACTAATAAAAAGTAGTAAATTACTTATAGCGTCCTTTCAACTTCAAATGACCTTTCCAAATTATGTAAAAATGTTAAATGAATGGCAGTTTTTTTTATTTATTAGGTTGGAAAGACGCAAATGGTTATATGCGTCTTTCATTCGATGTTTTTGTGTTGTTTGTGTTGTGTTGTAGGTGTATTTTTTAAGTTAAGATGAAAAGGAAAATTCGTTTTATTTAAATAAATAAACAAATTATCAAAAAAAAAATAAGTTCGTCTTTAAAATCTTCATGTCTCTACGTATATTTCAATTTTCATATTGATACCTTTTAATTTAGACACAGCAGGGTCTGAAAGAAAAATTCATATATTTATTTTTTATTTCCATTTTACGTTTTTGTTAGTAGCGTCCTTCTTTATTATGACGGCAGAACGCTTAACCCGGCCGGCTGGTGTCGCCTCACGCTGTGACGCAGTAGGTTTCGTATTGATTTTGTACACGCGTGCGCGAGCGAGAGTTCAATCGTTTTGTTTATTAAATTGTTATTGTTATTACTTGCGATTACGTGTTGGTATTATTCTTGTTGTAAGGTTTTTTGATTCTTTTTTGTTTTAATAATGCCTAACGCGTACGTTTATAGTGCTCGTGAATACGGCAACATGTTAGGTATCCTAACCTAGGTACACGAAGTATCACTAAATAAATTGTTAAGATTTCGGGATTGAATAAGTGTGTCATACTGTGCAGGGCACAAAGTGTTGAAGCGTAACCGAATGCGCCCATACAAATTGCACAAAGTGCAAGCTTTAGTTCCCGGCGATCACGACCGCCGACGAATTTTCTGCCGTTGGTTATTAAACCAGCAACAACGTGTGCCTGGTTTCATTGAGGACATTATCTGGACGGATGAGTCGGCATTTACCAGAAACGGCCTTTGGAACCGAAGAAATACACACGTGTATTCAGAGGTTAACCCGCACGCTGTTCGTCAAACCGGGCACCAAACCCGATGATCGGTTAACGTGTGGGCAGGTTTATTTAAGGATTGCATACTAGGACCAGTGTTTCTGCCACAGCGACTGAAGGGACAGCGATACCTAAACTTTATAATGAACAGTTGGTTGACATTTTTAACGACCTATCGTTGGCTGAATATCGCCTTCTTTCTGTGGGGTATGTGAAAGAAAGGGTTTTTAATCGTGAGTGTGATAGTGCTGACGAAACTACAAAAGGATCGTGGATGTTTTCGACAAACTACGTACGGACTGTGTCGAAGACCACACGATGATACCCCGCCTCCATGAGGAGACGCAACACTGAGCTCAAATCTGCCTTGAAATGAATGGAGCACAATTTGAGCCGCATCTCATAAGACCACGGAGGATTTAGAGCGGTAAGCAGTTTCATAACAATTTTTTTTAAATAATTTAGTACTGAAATAATCTGAATAGGTACATAACTGAACACATAAGAATAATAAACATACCTACACGATGAATAAAATCGCATGACTCTAACCTTGATTACATTTCATTTAAGTATTTTTTCATTAGCGGGAAATCGAACCAGTTATTTGGGTTATTTAACCTGTAAATTCGGATTAAAGTGGCTATGTGGAGACAAGTACAGTGGCAAAATAGTGGGTTAAGTAGATAAGTTAGGTATTTAGACAAATGTTGTAAATTACTAGGTATTGTGGTATAGCCCGCTAGTTGCGGGCCGCGCGAATTCGCGTTCGCGCGTACATTGACCTTTAATCAGGTGATATGAATTCAGTAATTCCACTGCTGGTTTTATGTTGCAGTATTTTCATGATTTTTTTCATGAAATTATCGTTTCATTTAGCTGTACTAACATGATAGAGAATGAATAAAGCTAATAAAACGTTGTGAAAAGATGATTTTTCATTCATCAGGATCGATTTTATATTCTACCTATCATCAAAGGTGTACTTCGTACTATCGTCTGTCTTAGTATTCGGGAGCGTTCCAAAAATACCCTGTAGATATATATATATATATATATATATATATATATATATATATATATATATATATATGTGTGTGTGGGTGTAAAAAAGTATCATCCTCAGATGCACCCATGATGGAATGCGAAAATATGCGTGTGTTTTAACATAAAATACAAGAAAATATAAGCAGATCATTAGCAATTCGTCGCAAATATATGATACGCTCCTCTGATGATGTTTCCTCAAAAATCCTATAAGCAACAATGGTTGCCACGTTACCAAAAGAAACGTCGCTTTGCTGGAGTAAAACCTTTACTCTCGAGCCAGTATTTTAAAGACGTGTCTACACGGTTAATCTTGAAATACCACCGTCTTCGGGCGTGTATCATCATGAATTCCCGTAACGAACACCACTTTTTCCGCTCGTCTATCCTGACGTGAATAGGTACACTGTACACATACATACGAAAAGCGATTATGTTTGATCTCATGCAAACTAACACTAGCTAAGATGTCCTTTTGATCAGCCATCATCTCATATGACAACATGGACTGGAAAACTGACACTTTCCACTAAGCAAACACAGACACACAGCTCTTTGTACAGCTTGCATGGCACTGTTAGCATCGATAGAAGATGTACGCATTACCAACGCATACCCTTGTAAATATATTAACATTCTCAATCATAAAATAATAGAAAGCGTACGTCCCTCTGACCACGCATGAACCGGACGGCATCTATCTTTCAAGACACTACATACAGCTGTAAACTAGTATATCCCTCTGATCCCCCGCTTGGGTCTGCCCGGACGATACTGTTACCTGTACTCTGTTTGACCAATCTGACTGGACCGGACGGGATCGTTCTTTCAATCAGCCGCACGCAGCATGGCCCGGTACGACATATCCCTTCGACCAGCTTCCCAAAAATCCAACACTCAACATCAAATATTCATAAGACTGGACCGGATGAATGTGTCCTTTTAACCAGCCGCGCGCGGCATGGCCTGGTACGACATTTTTTTTATAGGAGTAGGGTGACAAACGAGCACACAGTCCACCTGATGGTTAGTGGTTACTGCGGCCCATAGACATATACATTTATCCTCGTTTGCAAATCAAAATGCAGATGCGTTGTCACCCGTGAGTACTAAGATGGAATGCCTTATTTCCAGTAAAAAGGGCCTCCGGCCACCTGCACTCACCAATCGAAACGCAGAGGTAAACCCCTACTTCATGCTGGTATTCTGAGGTCGTGGTACCACCCCGGTTCGGGCCGGTCCATCCGTGCGACAGCAATTCTGCCGCGTGGCTCTACCACTGTTTTTCCCCCTTTTGTCCCTTCTTGATTGTTTTAGAAATTTACTCGATGAGAGATCATAAGCGAAGACCAGTTTCAGACGCTATTTCTTAATCTCTGGTTTCTTTATTAAGGTACATGCCATTTTTGTAAACTTAAGCTCGGCAAGACAATCAACTATAAGCTGCACCATCTTTCAAAACGATTGTTAGTTAATTTACGACGAGCTGTTTTCCGTTACCAGTAAAAATAGGACTCCGGATCTCGTCACCCACCATTCGGAATACAGTAGCATTATTCTACTATTACACCATAGTATTCTGTGCCCGCGTGGTCTTATCCCGATCGAGCTGATATATTCGTGCAGCAATCATAAAATCATGGTGGCTCTACGTGGCTACCTAAAAAAGTGTGCAGCAGGGTCTAGATTTTGTTTTGCATTACTAATACAAACTGTAACTGTAACTTAGTGGCGGCTGCTTGAGCTGTATGGGAACCGCTCATCACACGCATCGGAATGATTGGCCTTGACTTATACATTGAAGCCTTCGAGTTTTGCGCTCGAGCTATATGTGCCAACGCGTCGCACATCTTGATCTACGCTCCTCTATACAGGCATTGAACTAACTTTGAAAATATTAAAAAGCCGTTGATATCCTAAGTATACCACAGTAAACATTTCATGGCATAAATACAAGAAAGCGTTATTAAATTTAAAAAAAAATACTCAATAAATAAATAAACAGACACGGGATGTTCGGTTTAATAAGTTTACCAAAAATATTTTCATTAGTGCTACTGTTTATTTCTGTTCCATGTGCTGTGGCTCATTGTACAAACGGACCTCACTATGCTTAATACTGCAGTGATTGCTAAAAGTTTGTTGATTTTTGGTGATTGTTTTTCAGTAGCGTTCGCTCAGCATCTTTTGGATCTGAGTCAACGTTTGGCCCTTTGTCTCAGGCACGTAGAAGATCGTAAAAAAGAATGCTATCGCACACGTCCCAGAGAATATCCAAAAAGTTATATCGCCTCCAAGCTCAGTGACCATATAACCAAAGGCAGATGTAACTCCGAAGCCACACAGCCACCCACAAAATATGACAAAAGTTGAACCTACATTTCTTACATTCAATTGAAACATTTCTCCAGCAAGTGTTGATGGGATGACACTGAAACCTGAAACAAATATTTTTTTATAGGATAAGGGTGACTAACGAGCACACAGTCCACCTGATGGTAAGTGGTTGCTGTGGCCCATAGACATTTACATCTATCTTCGATTACGAATCAAAATGCAGATTCGTTGTCACCCGTGAGGGCTAAGATGGAATGCCTCGTTTTCAGTAAAAAGGGTCTCCGGTTCTCTACACTCACCATACAAATCACAGCAGCGTTAAGCTGATATTTTACGCTGGTATTCTGTGAGAGCGTGGTCCTTCCCCGGTCAAGCCGACCCATTCGTGCTACAACCATCATATAGCTGCAGCATAGCTATACCACGTATTAAAATGTTATAATCGTCATACACACTGACCGTGTAGTGGTGGTGTAAGAATATCTATTACCCCATCTGGTCCAGTGGATGTCGTGAGAGATGACAGATGGAAACAAACCAAGAGATGGGCAACTTCGTAATAACGACTAAAATGAAAGACAGCGGCTGAACAACTGAATTTCCAAGCGTAAAAACTCTAGTAAATATGCTCCCTTTGAGGCAAACTATTGGCAAGGCATATTTTCAGCAATAGATTGTTAATAGACTGTAAATGTAACGTCATGCACAATTACATTACACTTTTAATAAATAGCGTTACTAGTATTTTTATAAATAAATTCTAATCCTCTCTTGTAAAGAGTAATACTCGTAGGCGTTCTGTGGTCTTCCCCATTACTAGTTAATTCATATTTATAAGTCAATTTATCACGCAATATTTTTTCGTACTGTTTAATAATATCGATTTGATATATATCGATATATTTTTTTCCTTGCCCATCCCTAGGAAAACCATTCCTATGGCAGGATATTTCCCGCCAAGCAAAGTGTTCAGTTTTGGGGATCGGCCAACGCTTTACGTGGAAGTACGAAGCTATTCAATATATAATGGAGACCTTGGGAATTTTGATAGCGTGATGTAGGCTTTGGCTTGTGTCGATATTATCACGACCACAGCGCCACCACAGAGCTTAGAGACCGATAAATAAGAAGTTGAGAAATTACGTACTACTCGTACGTATAAATACGTTATAAAAGCGTACGTGCGTACCCTTTTGTTATTCCGAGATGGTGTGATTTACCATCTTGGGCTCACTACGTAACACCAAGTGGGATTGTATTCAAACACAGATGTATAATAATTAATAAGTTAACAGGTGGTATAACCGCCTTCAATAAAAAAAAATGAGAACATCATCAATGTGGTCGAAGTCAATTTAATACGCATATTAAGGATAACTCAAAATTTCGTGGCATATCTTGATAACATTTGTATGTAACCACATGAAAAGCACCGGCTTTGAATAAAAAAAGAATCATTAAAATCGATTCACCTAGATAAAAGTTCTGAGTTATCACACATAAAAAATACAGTCGAATTGAGAACTTCCTCCTTTTTTGAAGTCAGTTGAAATAACTTACCCATATTATACGCCAAAAAGTACAAAATGAGGGTTGCCAATGGTAGCCATTGAATTTTTGTAATAAATTCATAATCTAAGCCATCCAAGTAAAAGTAAGCACCTAATAACGCCTGTCAACAAAACAATAAGATTTTAACACCTTAGTACATACTACCTTTAAAACGATCCAAGAAATAATATTTATATTGATCTTCATGCAAATGACCTATTTTAAGTAATAAAAAATAAATAATTTATCATACAAATAATACTCACTAAACTTAAGGAGCAAAGTGCAGTTGAAAGTAATAATAAAATTCTTCTAGATTTTTCTATAATCAAAGGCGCGATTAAACTGCCAACTAATTGTGTCATACCTATGATTATTGTAGCTATATCCGGCGCTATGGATGAACTTGCTAATTTAAATATATTTGTGGAAAAAAATACCACCGCTAAAATCCCACTAGCTTCTTGCAAAATTTGCAAAGATGCCGTAATAAATAGAGCCCTTCTGTTATCTTTCACTGTGAAAAGAATTTTCCATTCTTGCTTGAAATAATTTGTTTCATATTCTTTACTTGTCAAAACGACATCCATCTCTTGTACTCTACCTAGAGTTTGTAGGACTTCCTTAGCTTTTGAGTCATCACCTAGAACAGACTGTATGATCATGACATTTTATCTTAATTATTATTTATTATTATCGCCTCGGACCGGTAGGCGAAGCGTAGAAACCCCCACTAGATGGAGTGACAACCTGGTGAGACATGTAATAAGTCGATGGATGCAGGTGCCTCAGGACCGCGCTCTGTGGCATTCCTTGGAGGAGGCCTATGTTCAGCAGTGGACTTGTGAAGGGCTATAATGATGATGATGATGATTATTATTATTATTATTATTATTATTTTTTATAAGAACCTAATCGAAGAAAGTTTTGGTCAAGCAATAGCAGCTTAATGCTGCTTTGTTTCGTATGATGAGTCTAGAGAACCGGAGACCTTTTTAAGTAGAGGCAGAGGCATCCATGGAGAACTACCCTCATGGGCGACAACGCACCTGCATTTTGATTCTGAATTGAGGATAAACGTAAATATTTATGGGCCACAGCATCCACTCACCATCAGGTGGACTGTGTGCTCGTTTGTTACCCCCATTCTGTAAAAAAAAACTGGGGAATAAGCACAGTCTCACATAAAATGTGATGGGATTGTTGACTAGTCGAATATGACGAAGAATTCTATGAAATCAAATTGCGACATATCAATAACTATGCACTAGACTAGTCTTTGTATATTTTTAAAGTTCAATCGGGCTAACAGTCAGTTCACCTGATGATAAGTGAAAGTGATACGTTTCCAACCCTACAGACAAAGATGAAATGCTTCACAACAAGTAATTAAACTAACTTTTTATATAACTTAAACCGCAGTGGACGCCCTTTTCATTAGTGGCAAAGTGGTAATAATAGGTTAGACTTAAGAAGTGTATAGATACTATAGTGACACTCATTCACTTTAACTTATATAACTCGATAAAACCATCAAAATTGACGAGAAAAATTGTTGAAACATATCTTCCCCCATGTACGCCTCTTTTTTTTTTAATAACGAAAAGCAAAACACTAAAAACTAACTCTTACTCCTTAAAATGTTGGAAAATATTGCAGTGTTTGCTTTAAACAGATCTAAGAGTAGTTCTTGTGAAAATGTGGGAGGTGGGAGCATTTGACTTTAGCTACACGAATCCAAAATTATTCAACATAGTAAATACTTGAAACCACTCACGCCATACGGAAATTAATCGTGTTTAATAGATCTCACATCACTTTACCTCGTAACACATAAAATATTGGTGATTCTGGAATGAAATATAAACTTAAAAGAAAGCATAAGCTCAGTATCAATCCCAAGTAAGCAGTAGCAGCATACGTTATGAAGGGTCCTGTAGAGTAAGTTAATATAGTACCAGCTGTCATTGCTACTCCTGCACCGCTCAACAAGATTCCTCTTATTTTTGTTGATCTGAAAATTTACAAAAAAATATCAATAAATTAAATTTAACTTGTACGTGGTAGAGCCACGCTGCAACTATATTACGGTTGTAGCACAAATGAAAACGAGGCATTCCATCTTAGTCCTCATGGGTGACAACGCATCTGCATTTTGATTCGTAATCGAAGATAGATGTAGATTTCTATGGGCCACAACAACTACTTTACTATCAGGTGGACTGTGAGCTCGTTTGTCACCCTTATCCTATAAAAAAAGACTTAGTATATTCATCTAAAATATTATTTATCTTTCATGACAGTTCATCCAGAGTCAACTGCTGAATATAAGTCTCTTAGGGTAGATTAGTAGGTTCATTGGTGTTTAAAATGTGACGTCATTATTTGTATTTTATCTTGATTATATTTATTAAATAATAACTAGATGGCGTTCCCATTGTATAAAATCGCGTATTATATTACTGTATTGTAAATAGTTTAAGATGTTCAAATAAAGTTGATTGGTTGTAGTGCTATGTGTTAATTCGACGCGACAATTGGCAAACGCAGTTATTTCTCATTTTATGACCCACGAGACGAGATAATATGGCATAGTAGGAGTGTGCTGATAACAGGTAAAATCGCATATGTGTTCCGGCTCATCTAGTTCCACAGTTCCAAAAACCTGTTACTACTCCTCTTTCTATCTATGGTTTTGAACTTAGGCGAGAAAACACACACAACATGGTATCACAGTAACATTTTTTATCTTATTCTAACAGAGGTAACTGTCATATGTATGTATAAAGAAATACTTGTGAATGTCCATTAGTGGAATTGTTATCTCGTGGAACAGGAGCTGTTCTTTCAGTTTATTTGTCACTGTTACAGTCTGCAATTTTAAGATACCTGTTTTTTTATCTGTTACGATAAATGCTTCACTCCTATGAGATCGATTGTCTTACGTTGTTACTACACGGCATCAACAAAAAGCCAAATCTTATCTCTTATCTTACAAAACACCATAAAACTATAAGCTATATAACATAAGTTATATTGTACCTAGGTATTTCTTTAATGAATCTTCATCAGGCCCTCAAAGCCTCGCCTAATGAGCATCTGTATTTTGGATTGGTGATCTCAGTATCAGACATCTCTTGCCTTAGACGTAGATCCCAGTTTTCCAGTATGGGTATTTATACGTCTAACATTTTCTATCGACAGAGGCGGATTAAATGTCGACAGCACCCTAGGTTAGCATCTCATCGGCGCCCCTATAGCAGCCGTATATTATACAATAAATTATAATCAACATTTTGCTAATAAACTATATAATATTTTATATAATTTAATAGTTGCAAAATAATTAAGACGCCAGTAACATTAACAGTTGGGCGTGAATGAAAAATGTGATGAGAGAGTCATCAAATAGACGGTTTTTTTTTCTTTTCAACCTTGCGCCCCTAGGCACGTGCCTAGTTTGTTTTAAGGATAATCCGACACTATCTATCGACCTCAAAAGAGAGAGCAAAGGAGATTTTTTATGTATGTTTAGCGATAATACGTTGTTTGATTTCAATGAATCTTAGAAAGTAGTAGTCCTAATTATATGTAAGTAGTCCTATTTATGTTTTTACATGAGCTGATGATGAGATCTATGAGAAAATCATCAAATTCTTCAATCCGCAAAGGCATATAAACGACATGTTATCTGTGAATAATTCTTAACTACATCAACTGTTGTTAATAATCATCTTTTTAGTTTTTGAAGTCAATTTTTCTTTTTTTTTTAAGTTTAGTTATACCACTATCTATCGGAAGCCATGAGGTGTTACAGCCATTTCTAATAGCCGCTTCTTACATGACACACAGAACAAAATGACGTAAACAACGTCACCACAACATAACAAAATCTTATATGAATTATTGAATAAAGTTTAAGAAAAAAAAACATTATGCGATATCCAAAAAAAGTACATACTTACGCAATTTCCCCAATGTACACCACATTCATTATCAAAAGCGTCCCCACTGCACTGCCCACTATCACTCTCCCAACAAATATCATTGCTAAATTTGTTGACAGGGCAAGTAAAATATAAGCCAGTATATTTAAAATTCCACTGAGTATTAAGCACGGCTTGCGGCCCTTAGTATTTGCAAGATTTGTTGTTATGATAGGAGCTAAAAAGTTTTAAACATGTTAAGTCACACTTTATACACTCTTCTAAATTTCACTACTGTTCAGCAAGTGTGTCTCTTGGTAGGTAAAACTTCCCATTATAATGGCTACCCTTGTGAGTTAGGAACTGCAGTTATTCCATCTTATTTGTTATATCTAAGCAGACAATATTGTTCTGGGATTTCCCAAAAGTTCATGTTTTTACTTAAGGGGACTACAAGAGCTAAGTGACCTCGAATGACGCACGCACACATTTACACAATTTTGTATAGCATCAGGCCTTGGCCGGCACTGTCGGTAAACAGGCGTTTACGCATGCGTGCGTATTATGTTCAGAAATAAGAATATGCGATTTAAAAAATCTATTAATTGAACGAAAAAATTAAAACACTATTACGTTAATATGTTGCTTGTAGAATAATCTGACAAAAAATCAGAATGATTGCATGTATATTAGTATGGATTTTATTCGTTAAAAGAAATTTTTAGTGGTATCTTTGTGATTTTTTTTCTATCATATCAAATTAGTGGTATCATGTTTTCAACGCACTAGCTAACTAGCATATATCCTGAAAAATATCATAAATTTCTCTGATTTTGTTCACTGCAATGGATCATATACTTTTAAAACTTGCATTTAGCCCCTGTAGTCCCCTTAAATTATTATCGTCTCTAGCACATATCTATCTATATATAATATCCATTATCCATTACTAAACATAGGCTTTCCTCATAGATTGCCACAAAGGACTTATATTTTTCATAGTTGGCACGCTAGGCTCACGGATTAGCAACCGTAGTTTATATTTACTATTTGGAGTTGTTATCGGAAGATGGTGTTTTTTAGGATAAGGGTGACACGCGAGCACATAGTCCACATAATGGTAAGTGGTTGCGAATCAAAATGCAGATGCGTTGTCAGCCGTGAGGACTAATGGTTCTTTTCCAGTAAAAAGGTTCTTCAGTTCTCAACACCCGCCATACGAAATATAGCAGAATTAAGCTGCTATTTTACGCTGATATTCTGTGAGAGCGTCGTCCTTTTCCGGTCGAGCCGACCCATTCGTGCTTCAACTATACAATTAATATAGCTGCAGCATAGCTCTACCACGTATAAAATGTTGCTGAATATTTCTCTATTTCATCTTCTTTTTATTCCATCAGTTGCCATCATGATACCTGATGATGATAATGATATGTGGCAGTGTATTCTCTTACGTTGCTACCACACGAAACTCTCAGTTTGATGATGAGAGAAAATTTACGCAAATACTTTGCGGGTTTTATAGCGAATTGTTATAAATACCTGTTTGTCAGTTATCTTTAAAATCTGACAATGGGATTTCCAAGACAATAAATATTATCTTACACGAACCTGTCATCGCACCTACGTATATTAAAGAACCTATTAAAGATGCTTCTGACTCCGAAAGGAGACTTTGTAGTGGAGATTGATCTTCATCTTCAAGCTTCGGTAATATCGCCGACGTCCAGCCCAGTGCATAGCCTATTGACATTTGACCTATATATGCTGAAAGGCAAAGTAGATATAGGTAGTAGGTATTTACTGTAAACGTAAGTATGTACGTATGTAGACGAAAATAATCTTCTAAGTAAACCTTAAGTAAGTAAGTGAAAACCTTAGACCGAAATAATAACATACATAACAGCGCTCATAAACACAGAACACTATTAATCTCTACCGAAAGACGATAATATGTGGAGGATATTCTTACAACGCCACTACAAGCAAAATAAAAACGTAATCTAATATATAACCTTTAATCACCTACCATATGTCTCACAGATCTTGTGGAATTTATAATCGTAAATATTGTTGCGCTTGAGTCGCGTATTGACGGCTCCGTGGCGCAGTGGCTTAGCAAACAGTTGTTGCGCTGGGCGCCGCGGGTTCGAATCCCGCACGGAACAAGTATTTGTATTGCCTACAAATAATTGTTCCGGGTCTGGATGTTTGTCCTTGTGCAATTTATGTCTGTAAACTGCCTTCACGACACAGGAGAAAATCCTAGTGTGGGGGTAACGTTTTGTAAAAAAACTTGTCGGTTCATGTACCTTTCCCTACCCTCCTCAGTACCGCGCAACGGCTCGTCGAGGTTGGACGCACGTTAGTTTGTCTCTGGTGAGTAATAAACTTTCGCTTGGGGTCTCGGAGACCTCTGATTGATGGTTGTATGATTTTTTTATTAAGGTTTTTTTTTGTTTTGGTCAAAAATGGGTTCTAACGACTTAATGGAAAGCGATGGTTAGAAGAAGATCTATCTATAAAGTTGTGGATCAGATTCCGAATGTGAAGAGACAGCTGAGTGGTAAAATTCTATGTGTCAATATTCTTTGTCTTCTATTCCACCAGATGATAAAGCGATTTCATCTGAAGATGATGAGCCCCTATCACAAATGCGATCGCGACCAAGGAAAAAGAACTATTTCGGAAAAAATCGCTTTCGATGGTCTTCCGTACCTTTTTCCTCTCGATCGCGAGCGTTATATCATAATATTGTGCAAGAACCACCTGGTGTAAGGTCAACATATCAGAGTAAGCTAAATGCATCATCTTGCTTGCTTGAATAAAATGTTGTAAACACTGGCGTGAAGATAAATGAAATAAGGCCGAAATATCAAAATAAAACCTGTGTTCAAGATTTAGACCTCATTGAATTGAAGGCATTTATTGGATTCCTGTTTTATACGGCAATCTTCAAAGAAAACCACGAGGACTACACGTCATGGTACTGCACGGATGGCACTGTTCGGGAAATTTACCGCAGCATTATAAGTAAAAAAAGGCTCGAAGTATTATTAAATTCAATACGTTTTGACGAAGCAACGACCAGACAGCCCCGACGTGAAATTGATGCAGCTGCACGTATAACTGACCTCTTTGATTCCTTTATTTCCCGTTGCCAGGCTATTTATGCAATCAGCTGTTACGCATGTATTGATGAGATGTTGGTTGCGTTTCGGGGACGATGCACGTTTAAAGTATTCATGCCAAAGAAGCCAGTTAAGTACGGGATAAAAATTAACACTATTAATCTCTACCGAGAGACTTACAGATGCAATATCTCGCTACTTACTCAATGCCTATTTATACAAAGGCAAAAATTCCGATGGACTTAATTTACCACTTTTTAACAGTAGTAGAGCCACGCGGCAGCTTTTGCTGTCGCACGGATGGGCCGGCTCGAACCGGGGTAGTACCACGACCTCACAGAAAACCAGCGTGAAGTAGAGGTTTACCTCTGCGTTTCGCTTGGTGAGTGCAGGTGACCGGAGGCCCTTTTTACTGGAAATGAGGCATTCCATCTTAGTCCTCACGGGTGACAACGCATCTACATTTTGATTTGTAACAGAGGATAGATGTAGATGTCTATGGGCCGCAGCAACCATTTACCATCAGGTGGACTGTGTGCTCGTTTGTCACCCATATCCTATAAAAAAAAAACCAGCTGAATGTCAGCAGCTAATGAAACCAACTAAAGCGGTTATGCGTCTCATTCCCCCAATTGCAGGTTCCAACAGAAACGTCACAACTGATAATTGGTACACATCTATTGAGCTGTTAGACTCACTAAAAATGAAACAGTTGACGGGCGTGGGCAAACTTCGAAAACATCAAAGAGAAATCCCTCCAGAATTTTTGACTTTTCACCACCGATACATCGATTCTACACTTTTTGGATTTACAAAATATTTTATTATTTTTTATCGTATGTTCTAGAACAAAATAAAGCAGAAAGTACAATTTAAAGTATGCAGTATGATATTGATGAATGTACTCAAAAGCCAGAAATTATACTTTTCTACAACACTACGAAACACGGAGTGGATCTTCTAGACCAGAGATGTTCGGACTCGCAGATAGCCCTTGGCAGTATTTTATCGACTTCTTGACATTTCAGCTTCAAACTGCTACGTCGTGAACTTATCAGTCCAACCCGAAGAACTGAAGATTGAAAGCAGATTCAAGTTTATGAAGAAACTAGCTGAACAACTTACGATACCGCATATAAACCGCCGTGTCAATAATATGAAACAGCAACATGATTTAAGAAACGCTATTCGGTGAGTACTCAAGCGAAACGAGGTTGCTCCATCAGTTTCAGTGGTAGCAATGCTGAAGAAAGGCTGTCAGTTCGCAAGAAATGTACAACTTGTCATTATATAAAAAGCGCAAAACAAAATACATGTGTTTTGAATGTAAATCACTAATTTGTCTTGAGTGTTCTAATAAGGTGTGTTTTCGCTGCCGTGAAAAACTATAATTTCAGAGTTTGCAATTTTGTGGAAATGTTAACTTTTTTAAAATGATATTTTTTAATTGGCTGATTTTTTAGTAACTAGAAAAGATCATTACTAGTTTCCTATAAAATGTGATTATTTTTGCAGATCTCATTTACTAAATATGTTAGTTTATAAGCAAGTAATAGGAGATGTTGATTGATTATGGAAGACATTTTTTAAAATTTAGGTTTTTTCTGTGCTGTTCATGTTCTAATAAAAAATTTAAGAAATATTGAAACGATTTATAATTACTCGTATTAAATAAACTTCCCACACATTTATTTTAAAACTTTAGATGAATTTAACACCTGGGTCCCACAGACGTATGGCAGGTGGTAGTGTAACAAAAATGTACACTAGGTGGTCAAGGGATAAAAATAAATTTTTGTTTGTTCGTATTTTATACCGTTCATCAGATTTGTACTTTTAACTTTTTGCTTGCATTTCCACGAAGGTTATAGGCATAGTATAATTAATTCCACAATTATTTTTCTGCGGCAGCAACGAGCCGTGTACCGGCTAGTAGGAATATAAAAAGGGCATACTACAAAATATAACTGAAGTTTTAAATGGGTAGTACAAGATATACAACATTATAGCATATTACTTACTACAAAAAACAGTTAATAGTTGCCGCCTAATGTTATTGTTGGCTTCCATAGTATTTTCACATTAAAAGTAGTCTAGTAAGACGAATAATTAAAATGCGGACACTTGTCTATATTTTAATATTTTACGTATTTAACATACACTATGTTCCATTAAAACATTTTTTTTAATTTACGAAAAATATGAGACGTGTTAATTCTGTTACATGTATATCTACACTAAACAACGATAGCCAATTCATCATTGCATTTGATAACTAACAAACTGTTATCTAAATAAGTTTATCTACTTTTATAACTAGATATCATCACAGTCTTAAAAGATACATATCTTTTTGTTTGAAAGATACAGCGTCGGTTTAAGAAAATTAAAAACGGTAAATATAATGTTAAAATACTTCTTATAAATTAAGAGTAAAATAGATAGTTAGGTTCACATAAAGATTTCTTATATTTACGCGAAGATTACACATTAAATGAAACTAATTTTTAGGTAAGCTAGAAGAAAACAACATGCCTACAGAATATGCAGTATTACTCAAACACTGCCTCACATCTGGTTATCTATTGTGGAAGGAAGAATTCTACAAGCAAGTAGATGGTGTGGAGATGGGCTCGCCTGTATCTCCCGTAGTCGCCGACATATTCATGGAGGATTTCGAGGAGAGAGCCTTTCTTATTGCTCCTGTAAATCCAAGATTCTACAAGCGGTATGTAGACGATACTTTCACAATTTTACCATCTGACAAACTAACTGACGGTGACGGTGGTAGAGCCACGCGGCAGTTTTTGCTGTTGCAATGTATAGGCCGGCTCGAGCCGGGTTGGTACCACCATCTCACAGAAAACCGGCGTGAAGTGGAAGCTCTGCTTCTGCGTTTCGTCTGGTGAGTGCAGGTGGCCGGAGACTCAATCCCCCCCCCCATCAACATGGTAGCGGAATTACATCAAAGACTACCCCAGGAGGGTACCAGCACCCCTGGAGAATTCCTCGCTGAGCATCCAGGACCATGTTATTCCAATCCTGACCGTGGGTGCTCAGGCTGCCCCGTGTATTCTGGGGGGAGGGGGGGGGGGGCTAAATTCCGCTCAAAAACATAACTGCTCGGGTAAGGGTAAACTGAGCAACAATACCAAGGCGACCCCTGCCACGCTATCCGTGAATTTTTGCAACATCAGGGGACTTTACTCGAACCTACACGCTGTCCACTACCATCTCGAGACAGCGAAGCCGGTCTTGCTCTTTCTGACCAAGACGCAGGTGTCCTCTCCGGCTGATACTTCGTATGTCTCCTGCCCGGGGTACGAATTGGAGCACTCCTTTGTGCCTCGGGCTGTTTGCGTATACGTCAGAGAGGACATCTGTTCTCGACGCCTCGGTAGTCTTGAAGGTTCAGACCTGCCCATCATTTGGCTACGCGTAGACAGCGACGACCATCCGCGCGTCTACGGGTGCCTCTATAGGTCCCATGGCGGTAATGCCGAAACAGACCGACTCATCGACTACGTCCAAATGGCTACAGATTCCTTGCTACAACAGGTCCCATCCACAGAGATCATGATCCTTGGCGATTTTAACGCCCACCACGCCGAATGGCTCGGTATACGTTTAACCGATCATGCGGGTAAATCTGTTTATGACTTTGCCTTGGCATATGGTCTGACACAACTGGTTACTTCGCCTACGCGGATTCCAGATGTGGAGGATCATACACCTTCCCTGTTGGACCTTCTGCTGACCTCTAATCCGGACGGATATCAGGTTTCTGTCGATGCCCCTCTCGGTTCTTCGGACCATTGTCTGATCCGGAGTGTGGTGACACTCACGCTCCCCTCGCGGTTGCGTTCTGCAGGTTGCCGCCGTGTTTGGCATTACAGGTCGGCGGATTGGGACGGAATGCGGTATTTCTTTGCATCCTATCCATGGGGGCGGGTTTGCTTCTCGCCGGATGATCCCAGCGCTGTTACTGACTCTGTCTCTGATGCGGTGCTACAGGGAATGGAACTATTTATTCCATCATCTGTGGTACCCAGCGGAGGCAGATTTCAGCCTTGGTTTGGTCGCTCCTTTAAGACTGCATTACGCAGTAAGCAGGAGTGTTATCAAGCCTGGGCTGCGGCTTCGGCGACTCGGGATGTAAACACCAGCATGCTTAAAAAGAAGTATAACTTCGACTCCAGGTCCTTCAAAAGAGTTATTGCCAAGGCAAAGTCAGAGTAGAATTGGCAGACTTTGCTAAAAACTAGTTCGCCTTCCTTCGGGAACCCGTGCATTCTGGTCTCTCGCCAAGGCTGTCCAAGGGAATTTCTGTAAGCCATCACTACCATCGCTGCACAGGGAGGACGACTCATTGGCCCACGCCGCAAAAGAGAAAGCCAACCTCTTAGGCTCCCTTTTTGCGTCCAACTCGACTCTTGATGACGGGGTGAAAACACAGCCGACCATCCCGCGGTGTGAGTGCTCCATGCCGGAGGTGCGGTTCTCACAGCGCACGGTTTGCAAAGCACTCCTCTCCCTGGACATCCACAAGTCGAGTGAGCCTGACGGAATCCCCCCAATTGTGCTGAGGACGTGTGCTCCGGAGTTGACACCGGTTCTAACGCGTCTTTTTCGGTACTCCTACGCCCTAGGCGTAGTCCCGAAATCATGGAAGACAGCTTTTGTCCACCCGATCCCTAAAAAAGGCGACCGCTCAGACCCGTCCAACTACAGGCCTATCGCCATCACCTCCTTGTTCTCCAAAAAAATGGAATCCATTATTAACTGCCAGCTCATGCGGTACCTTGAGGATGACCAGCTGATTAGTGACCGCCAATTAGGTTTTCGTCGAGGTCGATCAGTTGGTGACCTGACTCATAGATGGGCGGAGGCAGTAGAGTACAAGGGGGAGGCGTTGGCCGTTAGTTTTTTTATTCTATAGATAGAACCACCAACGGAATAACATGTTGTTTTGAAAAAAAATGTGACAATAGGCTTAGGAACTAAGATTTACATGTTTCCATTTAAAGGTAGTTACAGCATGTTTAAAAAAGTCGATAACTGTACGATAACTTAATAATTGTTACAAGTACGAGTAAAATACTAATATAAAACAAACAAAAACAATAAGACAATAAGAAATATATGAAAATTAAAAATATATTAAAATAACAACATTTATATCGAGTTTATATGAAGTTATGGTATAATTTTTACTATGAGTTATTAAATAGATTGACAATTTTGGCTCTAAAAGATTTTATATTATCGCTAAATAAGTCAATAGTCTTATCTTTAAGGACACATTTGTTATACAATCTGTTTATTCTCGGTATAAGAGAGTGATGACCAAGATTAGTTTTATACAATTTGTGTTTGAGTAAGGGAATCGAAAAACGCGATACACGGCAGGGAACTTTGAACAATATTTGTAATAGTAATTCTGCAGAATCTATAGTCCCATTTGTAAGCTTGTACAAAAAAACTAAATCATGTAGTTAGTTAGTTAATCATGTAGACGTCTATCCGAAAGTGAGTTTAATTTTAGTTTTAGGAGACGAGTGGAATAGGATTCCATATGATTACCACTTGAATCGTCTTTGAATGCTTTCTATACGATCGTTATGTATTTGATAATTAGGGCTCCATATGATGGTACCGTACTCTAATTTACTTCTAACTAAGGAAGTGTAAAGAAGATTTTTTGTTTTGATTTTTTTAAAACATTTTGAATTCCTGTATAGAATCCCGAGCATTTTGCGTGCCGATCTACAAATATTTTCAATGTGAATATTAAATCTTAATTTAGCATCAATTGTAATTCCTAAGTCTCGATTGGATTCGAGCTTCTGAAGTGGATTATTGTTCAAAGTGTATTGGGTTTCTGATGCAGTATACTTACGCGTAGTTGATATATGAACATTTAGAAGCGTTGAGATCCATGCCATTTAACTTGCTCCAACGAGCAATTCTATCGACATCTTCTTGTAGAGATTGTGCATCATGATCGTTAAGAATTGCTTTTGCGAGTTTCAGATCGTTTGCAAAGATGGAACATTTTGAATTATGTACACAATTAGTTACATAATTTTTTTTATAGGATAAGGGTGACAAACGAGCACACAGTCCACCTGATGGTAAGTGGTTGCTGCGGCCCATAGACATCTACATCTATCCTCTGTTACAAATCAAAATGTAGATGCATTGTCACCCGTGAGGACTAAGATGGAATGCCTCATTTCCAGTAAAAAGGGCCTCCGGCCACCTGCACTCACCAAGCGAAACGCAGAGGTAAACCTCTACTTCACGCTGGTTTTCTGTGAGGTCGTGGTACTACCCCGGTTCGAGCAGGCCCATCCGTGCGGCAGCAAAAGCTGCCGCGTGGTTCTACCACTGTTAAAAAATTTACGAAAATATTAAACAATAAAGGTCCTAATATGGATCCCTGAGGTACTCCCGAGGTGCACCCATATTTCTGAGAAAAGTGGCATCTGATCACTACGTATGAAAATCTGTCTGAAAAATGTAATGTACGTCTGAAAAATGTAATGAAAAAACATGAAAGGTTTGTGACAGTAGATCGAGATGTCATAAATCCGTGTTGGGTGTCTGAGATAGCGTGGCGGACATGGCGTGACAATATAGGCGAGATCAAGGACTCAAAGATCTTAGAGACAACTGATAATATTGATATGGGTCTGTAGTTGGCAATATTATCTCGATTCCCTTTTTTGTACACAGGCACTATTCTTGCAAGTTTCCACATATCTGGGAAGACCCCGGTGCTGAGGGATGTATTAAAGATAATACAGATAGGCAAAGACAACTCTTTAGCACACTTCTTAATAAACGATGAAGGAAGATCGTCGGAACCTTTCTTTGCGTCAAGTCTTTTTAATTTTTTTATTACTTCGATAGGGCTAGTAAGTTTGGACATTCGCAATGTCCAAATTTACCAGTTTGGACATTGCGAATGCCTTCGATCGTGTTTGGCACAAAGCGCTTCTTTCGAAGCTCCCTTCCTATGGGCTTCACTTCAACAAACTTGTGTCTGAAATCGACTCTTTGCTAAACAAAGTCTCGGATTGGGGGCGACTAAATCTAGTCCAGTTTAATCCTCAGAAGACACAAGTTTGCACGTATACCGCTAAAAAGAACCCCTTTGTCGTATCTCCTCAGTTTCAAGGCACTCCCCTTCTTGCCTCAGTCAGTATCGGAATCCTCGGAGTCGACATATCGAGT